CAGAGCTCCCAGGCGCTCCCATTCGTTGTACTTACAACGAGGGGAGAGATGATCTTTATGGTCGGGTGGTTTGCGGGTGGGATTGGCGGCCACTGCAGGCGGGCTCCCAGGCAGGAGGGGGTCAGCTGCGGCAGAGCTTGTGGACCCTAAACCCTAAACCCTAAACCCACGGGCATCGGGGGTCCAGTGTCATGCCTCTGGGCTCAGGGGAAAGCCTGCGCGGCCCCCAGCCCTTGCCCAGGGCCCCCGTCCGCCCGCACGTAAGCGCACGCGAGAGCTCCTGTGGGGGAAGGGGGGGAGAGAGGGGGGGGGGATGCATGGGAGGGCAAGGGAGAGGGGAGGAGGGGGGGAGGAGGGCAGGGGAGAATGGATGGGAGGGCATGGGAGAGGGGGGGAGGGGGGGAGGAGGGCAGGAGGGAACAAGGCCAAAAGAGAGCGAAAAGGGGGGGAGGGAGGGAGGGAGGGGGAGGGAGCAGGAGGTGGGGTGGGGTGTGGGGGTGTGGGGGGGAGGCACGCGGGCGCTTCCGCGCCCGAGACGCAGCGGCGACGGAAGGTGTGCGCGCCCCGAAGGAGCAGACATGGTGGGGGAGGGCAGCCTCGAACTGAGCTGAGGGGGCCTCAGGACACACAACAAAATATACACACACATAGAACAGGGCTCCCCATATTTCCCAAGATGTTCTGGCTTCGTGTCTTCCCCCCACATCCCATATTTTCCTATCTTTTCCTGGGAGGTGACGATGAATTGTGTCTCTGTGTGTCTTTCCCTCCTGATGATCAGAGGAAACCAGCATCGCCTCTCAAACCAAAAGACAGAGCGCATATAGTTGTTCGATCTCGGGCGTCTAGATACTTTTGGACTAAGCGCTCATGATCATGTCCTGTTGATTGGTGTGCCTTATCAGCTCCGCAGCCCGGGCGGAGGCTGCTCCTGGCACGTCTTGCTGAGCCAGAACGGCCGTGCTCCGCCCCGAGTCGACGCGCCGCCCCGAGGCAGAGCCGAGGCCCTGCTCGACACGGCGAGCCGCCGGGGCAGGCCCCGCAGCGACCGCCCGACTGCGGAAGTAGCGTCAAGGCGGGCACGTCCCTCTGCAGGAGGAATCTCCAGGAACAGTCAAACAATAACATGGGGGCGACTGCTCTCCCAATTGTTTGGCTATGATGGGGCTCGCGTGGGCTATCTTCCACTTCTCTCTTCCACCATCCGCCCGTAGGAGGACATGCCCGGCCTGGAAATAACGCACCGCCACGCGCAGCCGGCCACCCAACTGCGAAATGGGAAGGGGATAGGGGAACGAACAATGACATAAACATAACAACTCGGAGATCCGCGCGGACTTCTCGGATTGGCGCTGGGGCCCCGGGTCGGCGCCTCTGGCGCCGCCCCTGGCGCGCTGCGCGCGCCAGGGAGGTGGGTCCAGCGCGGATCCAAGAAATCCGCGCGGACCTCCGAGTTTTTATGTTTATGTAATTTTTCGTTCCCCTAGGGGAGGGGAAGGCAGGGGGGCAGGGTGCGCACGTGCCAGGCCCGCCGCACGAGCCACGGCCTGGACCCCGGACCCCCCTGCCGAGTGCGGGGCAACTAGGGGAACGAACAGTGACATAAACATGAAAACTCTGAGGTCCGCGCGGATTTCTCGGATCCGCGCTGGACCCCCCTCCCTGGCGCGCGGAGCGCGCCAGGGGCGGCGCCAGAGGCGCCGCAACTGATGTCATGTTTAATGTTTATCATGTTTATGTGATTGTTCGTTCCGCCGCAAGGCGGACCTCCGAGTTTTAATGTTTATGTCATTGTTCGTTCCCCTAGCAACGGTCGGGAAGGGGGGGCTGGCACAGGGGGACGCGCATCAGCCCCCTCGATCGCTGTCCCTGGTGGCTTTCGGGCCATGGCTCGGCTCTACGGCGGCCGTTCGGGACGAGCCAGGCATCTCCGGAACGCCCGCGGCCAGGCGCAGCTGCTGGAGGGCATGCCGGGGCTGGCAAAAGGCCGAGAACAGCTGAAAAACCGTGGAGGACCGCCAGACCTGGCCATCGCTCGGACGTCCATTTCCTGTGATTTTATCGGTTTCGGTGGTTTTCTCGCGAAATGATCAAGGATGCTCCTCGATGGTCCTCGCCGAAGGAAAAATGCACACGTCCGAGCGATGCGGAGAGACCCCCCCCCTATGCCCATCCCCCCCTTCTCGTTGCCCTTGGTTGCGCGGGCCTCTTGGCGTCCTCCCTGTGCCCACCTCCCTCGTCGTTGCCCCTGGCCAGGGCTGAAGAACGGAGTCTCCACCATGGAGGTCGGGAGGCTGCCCTTCGGGCGCCTCGCACGTGTTGGGCGCCCCGCTCGCCTGGCGACTGCGCAAGCCTGGCGCTGGAGGCCAGTCCACAGGACACCTTCCACGAGAAACCCGACCCTGAGACCCCAGGGCGTTCGCGGAATTAGGCGCGGAAGTGTCACGCCTTCCACAGCAGAGCCATCAAGACCCAAGAAACCCGGGGCACCCTGGAGGCAAGCAGGATGTTTCTTGGCATGTGCCTCCACTGTACTTTTGACGATGCGTGGGCCCCCGGAGGTCTGGATCCTTTCTCTAGGGCCGGCTTTTTTGTTCCGAATCGTTTGCTGACGGTCCCGGCCCCCAGAAGTCGAACGTATCACAAAACTGGCCGCTCCAACTTCGGATCTCTGGGGACGCTGGGTAGCAGATCAACGTGCCGATCCACTGCCAGCTAGTTCCGTCGTTGTACTCTGCGTCCCTGACCGCGTGCTCGACTTGGTCCGCGTCGACCAGATCCGCCGACCGCCGGCTGCGGATGCGGTCTCAGGCCAGTGTTTGAACGACGCGTCGGTCCGCCAGCTCTTCCCCTTTCTTCTGTAGTCGTCGTCGTCCTGCTCCTCCTCCTCCTCCTCCTCCTCCTCCTTCTGGACCTCGTCGTCCTTCACCTCCTTCTCCTCGTCCTCGTCCTCGTCTTGCTCCCCATCCTCCTCGTCCTCTTCGTCGTCGTCCTCCCTCTCCTCCTCCTCCCCGTCCTTGTCGTCAGCCAATTCTTCCTCCTTCTCCTCGTCGTCCCTCTCCTACTCTTGCACTGGTTCTTCCCCCTCCTCTCGTTCTCTGTGCACCATTGCCTCCCCCTCCTTCTCCTCCCACAACCCGCCCGGGCGCAGTGATCCGGAGCCCGCCACCTCCCCCATCGGTCGAGGGAGGAGAGGGATAGAGACGGGAATCGAGAGGGGAGACCCTCGGCTGGGGAGCAGAGTGGAGATGGGGGCCAGGGGTGGGGTGAGGTCGGGCATGTCCCCCTACAGGCGGATTTCGGGAGACAAATATGAAGAACAGTCAAACAGATATGCAGAAATAGTCGAAACACCGGTCCCAGGTCAAATTTTTACTATTTCTTGGATATTTATCCTGTAGAGGGACATGCCCGACTTATGGATGGGGGCCCAAAAAGCCGAGGCTTCGAAACACATTGGAACGGTTGGTGTTTGGCGATCTTCGCCCTCAACGACGCGCCCCGGGACCGTGACAACGACTCGGGGCGAAAAGCTCGCCCTTGGGAAGTGGTCCAGACCTCCGGGGGTCCAAATATCGAACAGACTGGAGCACCGGGTATCTTGGGGGATGGGGGCGAGGGTTGGGGGCAAGCATTTGTGTTTGACGTTTTTCCTCCAACCCCTCTGCAGGACTTTCGACGGTGGGCACGTACAAGATGGGCCAACCACGCCGCGTATATCCAGTGTAAAGTTGGAGGCCGACGAGCACCTCCGTCGGCCTCCACCTGTACATCGGGTGCGCGGCGGGACTGGCCCACCCTACGAAGGGTGGGGTGGGGAAGGTAGGAGGAGAGAAGTCGGAAGAGGGGGGCAAAGGGGAGGGAGGAGAGAGGGAAGAGGGCGATGGGCAGACAGATGGGAAGGAGGGGAGAAAAGGGATGGGACCCCAGACATGCGACGTCCTGTTTTTTCCATGCGCGGTCCCAAAAATCCCGACCCTTCCCCCGGGACCGGTTCTTCATCCTGAATTGTTTTGTTGACGGCCCCGGTGAGGGCCCCGGGAGGCCGAAAACTACTAAAAGCCGTCCGTCCTGATGTGTTCAAGGCGCAAGCATGTCTGGAATGAGATGAGGGGCGGGTGAAGTGATTAACCCAACATGATCGACCCACAAACCCGGAAAGGAATATAGAACTGTAACGCATGGCAACGTTTTCAAAGACACCTGATTGGGTGACGGGCAAGTGCAATGCTGATTGTATCGATCTTGATGTACCGTGCCGAAGTCTGTGCTGTGCTGCACATGCTGAATTGCGATGTGCCATGCCGCGGTTGTGCTCTATAGCGTCGTGGATCGAGTCTTCCTTTGCATCCGAGTCCTGACCGAACTGATCTGGATCTTAAGGCTCGAGCTGCCTGAACACATAGTAGCTGCCCCAGAGCTAATTGACAGGGGGACATGCCAGGAGGACGCGCCGCGAAACGTCCCAAGGGACGCGCCAGGCGACGTGCCAGGGGACGTGCCATGGGGTCGCACCGTAGGACGTGCCAAGGGGACGCGCTACGGAACGTGCCAATGGATATGCCACGGAATGTGCCAGGGGACGCGCCACGCGACGTGCCATGGGGGACTCGCCAAGGGACGCCCCACGGAACGTGCCAAGGAACGTGCCAGGTTGCAATGCTGATTGTATCGATCTCCGTGCCGAAGTCTGTGCTGTGCTGCACATCGCTGAATTGCGATGTGCCATGCCGCGGTTGTGCTCTATAGCGTCGTGGATCGAGTCCTCCTTTGCATCCGAATCCTGACCGAACTGATCTGGATCTTAAGCTCGAACTGCCTGAACACATAGTATCTGCCGCAGAGATAATTGACAGGGGGACATGCCAGGAGGACGCGCCGCGGAACGTCTCAAGGGACGCGCCAGGCGACACGCCAGGGGACGTTCCATGGGGACGGCCCTCGGGACGTGCCAAGGGGACGCGCTACGGAACGTGCTGGGGACAAGCGTTTCGCTCGAGACATCCTGTCAACATCCTCATTCTAGACATCCGCCTGAGCGACCTGGACACGTGAAGACAAACGTTTCGCTCAACACATCCTCAACACATTCTCATGCTAGACATCCGCCTGGGCGAACTGGACACGTGAAAACAATTAGTTCGCTCGAGACATCCTCAACACATCTTCATGTGAGACGTCCGCCTGGGTAACCTGGGCACGTGAAAACAAGCGTTTCGCTCGAGACGTTTTCAACACCTCCTTATTCTAGACATCCGCCTTGGCGACCTGTACACGTGAAAGCAAACGTCTCGCTCGAGACACCCTCAACACATCTTCATGTTAGACATCCGCCTGGGCGACCTGGACACGTGAAAACCAGCGTATCACTCGAGACATTCTCAACACATCCTCATGCTAAGCATCCTCCTGGGCAACCTGGACACGTGCAAACAAGCATCTCGATCGAGACTTCCTCAACACCTCCTCATTCTAGACATCCGCCTGGGCGACGACGACGCGTGAAACCAAGCGTCTCGCTCGAGACATCCTCAACAAATCCTGGCGCTTGACCTCTGCCTGGGCAACCTGGAGGCGTGTAACCAAGCGTCTCGCTCGAGACATCCTCAAGACCTGGGCACGTGAAACCAAGCATTTCACTTGAGAGATCCTCTAAATTCTGGTCCCCAGGAGAGGACAATCTATAACACAACACAAGCGTTTCGCTCGAGACATCTTCTGACACACAAGCGTTTCGCTCGAGACATCCTCAACTTTTTAATTCGCCGGCCCTACGCGACCTCGTTATTTATCGCAAAAGAAATTCGCCGGCCCATGAGCCGTCAGATGCGGGAGTAAACCTCTAAAAGAGAACCCTGGGCCTGTGCCCTTTCCGCGAAAAAGGACCCCAAACCCAATGGGAGGGTACCTAGGTTAGGAGGGCCAGAAACATGAGGGATAGGGGTCTTCTCTGCAGATGTATCAGACCAACTGCCCAGAATTACCATCCCTAATGCGAAGTCGGGAACCTCATTGAGGCCACGTCTTCATCGTGATATTTTGGTTAGGGGTTCTTTTGTGCTCGATGATGAAAGGGAGGAGGGGCGGTGAGGGGAGGAACGGGAAACACGGCGCGCGTCTCCTCTGCGCCCTTCGCCTCCGTTGCTGGGCCTGCGGCAGACAGGGGCGGCGGTGCGGAGGTGGTGCGAACCCTCGGGCTCCCCCCCTCGCCGTTTGCCGCCATGTCCTCCCTTCCGGTGGCAACTCATGGGAGCCTCCCATAGCATCTTGTCGGCTCTTGCGAATCGACGCTAATCGACGCTAAATCGACGCTCATCGACGCTGAATCGGTGCTAACCGACGCTACATCGGCGCTATCTCATCGACTCCCAGACGCTAATTGATGCGATTCGACACTTAAGACAGAATTGCGAGGGTACACAAGGCTCCCATGGTTTGCTACCGAACTCCCTCCATCCAGAGGGCAAGGAAAAGGAGGGTCAGACAAAAACGAAAGCTGCGTTATAGCTTATTGCGATGCTGGAAGATACCCTCCCACAGCTACAGTGGAGGCCAGTCCACAAGACACCTTCCACAAGAAACCCAACCCTGAGACCCTATGACGTCCGTTGATTTTTGGTATGGGGACGCCACGCTTTCCATAGCAAAACCATCGAGACCCAAGAAACCCAGGGCACCCTGGAGGCAAGCAGGGTGTTTCTTGGCATGGGCCCCCACTGTAATCTTCTTCACTGCGGATAAAAAGAAAGTCCTCCTGAGAGACGAGCGCCCCATGTTCATGTGAGAGTCCCAGATTGGAGCACGTCTGACCTGCATCCTGCCAATTTTTGTGGATGCCATGACAATGGACACCCCAACAATCCGATCAATGAGTTTAAACGTTTGTTTCCCATTTTCGAAGGATGTTCTAAACACAAGGTTTACGCCATGTTGTTGTTTGTTGCATGTTTGAGGCATGCCATTAACATGTTTAAAGAACTTGGCAATTATTTGACAACATGCTCCCTCTCCACTGATCGTCGTCCACAAACCACCTTGGGGAACACGAACATATGACCATCGTCCGCCACCATGCTTCGATTAAGAGCCCCCAAACCAGGTGGTGAGATATCAAGTGGTGACCTAGAATGCCCCCAAAGTCACAGTCGGTTTTTGGAACACGGGGTCACCGCCTGGTCTTGTGACTCCTGGAAAAAAAAACAGCGTTCGGGGCATCCTCGCAAAACCACACGAGTCCCCAAACTGGGTGGTGACACCAAATCGCCCGAGACTCACCGCCGGGTGTTGTCATCACCACGTTGGGGCCTCGAGAAACGAGTCGAAGTGTACTCAGGTCCTCGGCGTCTTCCGTCCTCAACCCTGGGAGTCTCTCAGGGCGCTTCAGCCATCTGGCCCTCGTCGCTTGGTCTCTACCGAGCCACGAGGGCCCCACGACGGGCCAAGATGGCTTCAGTGGCCTTCCAAGGGGCCTCTGAGTCGCACCAAGATCGCTCCAACATGCCAAGATGGCCTCCAGACGGGCCAAGGGCCCCTCAAGGCGCCCCAAGATTGCTCCACGAGGCCCCTCAAGAGGCTAATCGCATTGGTTCTCTTACGTTCATCTTGCGGAGCAGGAGGAGGTAGAGTTAAGTCGGGCGTGTCCCCCTACAGGGGGATCTTCGACGAAGAATAATCAATACCAAACAAATACCCCAAAAGTGGCAAAACCAAATATTCCAAAAATAGTCCCCAGACTATTGTTTGACTATTTTTGAATACTCCTCCTGTAGAAGGGCACGCCCGACTTAAAGGTAGAGCCGCGACCGCCGGGTCTCGGCACCTCGGCCATGTGAAACCACGGCGCGAGCCAGAAAGTCGCCGGGCAAACCCAGAACTCCGCACCAGTGAACGTTTTCTTAGTCGGCGCTTCGGCACTGGTCGGCTATACGCAAGAGTGACCCTGGGTAAGAAAGACCTCTGGTGCGCGGCTTTTTGGGGGCCGGGGAGGGGACCAAACCTGGGCGCGCAAGCAGCTGTTACCGCGTCGTTGTCAGCCATCTGGGGACCCAACTGTGCCCGCACTAAAGGTCACTCCTGCGAAAGGTCACTCGTACGTCTAGTCGAATTGGGCGGAAAGGGGGGAGAGAGGGGGCGGGTCTTGCTGCGGACCTCTGTCTAATGCGACCGTTTACAACAGAGCGTCCTACGGGGGATACTCCACCTGCTTGACACAGGCGCCGAAAATAACCTGAATCTACTCCATAGGGGGGGGGCGCGAGGGCCGATCGGCAATGCCGACCTACAATACGCAACCGCTTGCAAGGAGCGTTGGCCTGGGAGCGACCCGTGACAGCTGTTGATCCCCTTATGTTGCGAAGGACTTTGGGCGTGCTCGAGGTTTCGGGCTGTCGACGCTCCCACACGGCCCACAGGGCCCCCAAACAAGGCCCCAACGTGCTCGAGGCTTCGGGCTGTCGACGCTCCCACACGGCCCACAGGGCCCCCAAACAAGGCCCCCAACAAGGCCCCCAGAGGGCCCGTGCTGGCCCCAGGACGGCGAGCCCCCAAGACGGCCCCAGCGGGCCACGTGCGCGGCGTTGCAGCGAGAACCGCATTTTGAAAACGAGCCGCCTTTCGCTCTTGTACACGTTGGAAGTCACGAGGTCGAAAGTGCGTGGCGCAAGGGCGTGAGCCATGTAATGTACATCACTCAGCCTCCACTCGATATTCTGAGAAAGAGGTGCTCGGCGCTGAGGCTTTGACAACATTCGGGACACCGGCCGCCCTACAGTGCTGCAGTTGTGCAAATTCTGCGACGAATATGCCCCGCGCTGAGGCGAGATGCACATTTGTAGAATACGAAACAACGCATAAACATCAACTTTTGGCGCTCCGCGCGGATTTCTTGGACCTTCGCTGGACCTTCCACCAAGGCGCGCCAGGGGCGGCGCCGGAGGCGCCGCCGGGGGGGCCCAACGCGGATCCAAGAAACCCGCGCGGAGCGCCTACAGTTTATGTTTGCGCTGTTTTGTTTCTTCTTCTTCTTCTTCTTCTTGGGGGCCCAACGCGGATCCAAGAAATCCGCGCGGAGCGCCAACAGCTTATGCTTGCGCTGCTCTTTTCTTCTTCATACAGTGCGGGCGCGGTCGCAAGAAACCCTCGCAAGAAACCCAACCCTGAAAACACGCGCGCGACGTGCAACTGAAAGGAGACCTGGAGCACCCTGGACGCAGCAGCTACTCTGACGGCCGCGGGAAGTCACCACGCAGCGCGCGGACCGAAGAAACCAAAGGTACCCTGACGAAAAGCATATGGTTTCTTGATGCGCGCCCCCACTGTTCAGGGCAGTTTTTTTATACATAGGGTGTCTTAAAATATAGGAGTTTGATAATGATTAATTGATGGGTGAATGTATGCATGAACTCATCATTGTTTTTGATACTAAATCCCTGCATGTTTAATACATAATCCGCACGCGGAGCATGTATCAAAAATGGCACTGTATGTGCCGCGCTGAGGCGAGATGCACGCGTGGGGAGCGGCGCGCCCTCCCTCCTCCGAACTGCCAGGGGAAGTAGAGCGTCAGGGTGGCGGCGAGAGGAGCCTCAGGCGAACCGCCCCGCCCGCCCTACCGGCGCTTCCCTGGTGCTGCGACGAGGAAGCACCATGCCTAAGGAAGAGGAATGGCGGTGGAGGAGGAGGAAAACGAGGCTGAGGAAAAGGATGATGAGGAGGAGGAGGATAATATAATAATAATCATAACAGTAATAATACATGAATAAATACATAGATGCGAAGAAGAAGAAACTACGCCATAAACTTCTGGCGCTCCGCGCGGATTCCTTTGATCCGCGCCGTTTCCTCTTCTTCGAGAGAAGGTATACCGTTGACGTTCGATGTTCGGGTGTTTCGATTTCTAAGTCCTGGGGGTCTGTTTCAGGCTCCGGAACGGTCAAGCAATCGTGGCTGGATGCACATCTGGCCAGGATGGCCCTTGGAGACCCCTCACCCTTCCCCTCTCCCTGCTCCCATTTCCCTACGTTCTTTTCGTTCGCCCCCTCCTCCCTCCTTCCTCTCCTTCCCCCCTCCCCACCCTGCTCGCTCTCCGCCTGCCTTCCCCCGCGATCACATCCCCGCCCCTCGATGATTCACCCCTCTGCAGTGCGCCTATCAGCCACGCATGCGACAAGCAGCGTGGGCAATAGCAATGGGGTGCAACCAGCACGTCGCAAAAGAGGGGGGGGGAAGGAAGGTAAAGGAAGAAACAGACTGCACAAGCACTAGATTTTCGACGCGCGGACTTCTTGGATCTGCTCCAGGCCCCCCTCCCTGGCGCGCGGAGCGCGCAAACGGCGTTGCCGGCACATGCACGAAATGCGCTCGGAGCGTCGAAACATTGTCAAACAGTTACTTGCCCCGGACGGGCAAATTTGTGGTCGAAAATTAGGAAAATAAATTTGAAAATTTGTCAAACGAATGTCAGGAAAAGACCTGGACGGGTCTGGCGACGATTTTCCACGCTGCCGCCCCTGGCCGCCTCGTAGCCGCCTCGTGCGCTTGGCGGATCCGGCGACGTTGCCGCCACGCTGCCGCCCGTGGCCGCCTCGTGGCCGCCCCTGGCTTTATGTTGGAAAAATAAAAAAAAAATGCACCAAAAAGGTCGAACATCCCCGACTGAACCCTGGCCGCCTCGTGGCCGCCTCGTGGGCTGGGTGGGCTCGGCGACGTCTCGCCACGTGGCCGCCCGTGGCCTCCTCGTAGCCGCCTCCAGCTTGCACCACGCATGACGCAACTCGGGGTCCAGCTACGAGAGGAGGAGGAGGAGGAGGAGGAGGAGGAGGAGGAGGAGGAGGAGGAGGGGCAGGAGGAGGAGGGGGAGGAGGAGGAGGAGGAGGAGGAGGAGGAGGAGGAGGAGGAGGAGGAGGAGGAGGGGTAGTGGGAGGAGGAGGAGGAAGAGCAGGAGGGCCATTGCCCGCCAGGCTGAGACCCGTTGGCCGCTGGTTCTGGGGTGGTGCAATAGGTTTGGTGCAATCTATCTGATGTGTGTCGGGTTGTAATAGATTTTGGGCGTGAGTAACATTCCCGGTCGCAGATGTTCTGCAATGTTTTGGCGTGCAATGCATTCGTTGCAGAGTGCAGCGCAATTCCCTGGTGCATTGCAGTACAACTGCCCGAAATCTGCTGCACCGCTCCCTTCCAGCTGGACCCCCTGTTGGGTCAACCAGAACTCTGCACCACAGAGCTAACGCCACATGGCTTGCACATCCACAGCCTAATGA